GAACGCCTTACGCAGCTCCCGCCTCGGCAAGTGGTAATTTTAGCCGGTTTTATTCATCGCCAAAGCACAAGCAGTTACGAATAAAACCGTACATTTGATAAGCTGTGATGCAGTTAACTATACGAGTATTTCCTGCGTTTTTCCTCGCTTGTTTCCTGGTTCTAAAACTTAAATTGACGAGGCCTGACTCATTTTCAGGTTGCGTCTTTTGATCCACTAATTAGCCCAAAAGGGGGACCGAGCGGATTTATATAAAAAGTCTTTTAAAAAGAAAAGAATATACATAGACCTGCTATTTAGGCGATTGTTTAGGTTTATAAGGCACTTTGACACGCAGTAATCCCCTTAATCCTCAATTTTGTGAGGTGAACTCTCTGAGGCCTGGAGAGATTAAATGACATCCATATTCCCACAGCTGGTGTGTGGTAGGACTGTGCTCCAAGCCCAGCCTACTGATTCCAAATCCAGCTCGATGTCTACCACATGTTTTCTGTCACGGCATTTTAGAATTGAAAGGCTCTTTACAATCTTCAGCGTACCCCATGCCCAATAAATGAAGAATTTTAAATGATTTCCTGAGGGACCAACAGCTAACTATAAGCTACATTTGCAATAAATTTCAAATTTTATTCCAATGTCGCTTCCCCTTTTTCACACTTCTGTGGACGTTCGTTTCTTTAGACAGAGGTTCCCTAGTATCCCAGGCTGGCCCGGCACTTGCCATTATAGCATTGAGCGTTTTGTGCGCACTTTCATTCATTCATTTATTTGTTTAGAGACAGAATCTCACTATGTAGTTTAGGTTGGTCTTGAACTCACCACTTAGCCCAGACTTGCCTTGAACTTGAGGCTATCCTCCTGCTTCAGCTTTCTCTGAACTGGGATTACAGGTGTGTGCTATCACACCTGGCTGCCGGGACACTTAAAGAGTTAGACAAACCTGAGCTAACAGTTTACTTGAATGAAATTTTAATTTGCTTTTTAAAATAAAAATGTAATAATGGAGTTATCTTGAAATGAACATAGCTGCCTTCAAAGCAGATGCACTTGAGGATGTAACATCACAAGTGAAAATGCCAAGAGTGTTGACCTTGACTTCAATTAAGAGGAAGCAGACATCTCTAGCTGCCGGTGAAACAACTGAGCTGGACTCTTTAAAGGAGTAGTATCATGAATAGTATAGGTAAAAATAATTGCTCAAAAGTAAAATAAAGGGGCTGGTCAGATAGCTCAGCAGATTAAAGCGCATGCTTAGGCAGATGCAGGGACCAGGACTGGATCCTTGGCTTTCAGAGCAGGCCCCACCCCCCGGGCATGGATACAGGATTGAGTTGGCGTGGGTGTGGTGGCATGTGCCTGTAATCCCAGCAATTGGGAGGTTGAAAATGATCACTACAAGTCCGATCTGTCTAGTGAGACCCTGTAGACCCTGTACTAAATACATTTTTTAAAAAGTAAAATTGAACATTGGTCAACTGTTCTTTTGCTTCTGTAAAAATTTAGTATTTAGGCCAGGTATGGTGGCACATGCCTATAATCCCAGCACTTGGGAGGCTCAGGTAGAAGGATCACTGTGAGTTCAAAGCCAGCCTGAGCTACATAACAAGACCCCATGTCAAAAACAAACAGTTATCCTTTAAACATAACTCCCCATGATGAATGCAATCATTATGTACTGCAAACATGTACTAACAATTTTTTTCAAATGTTCACCCAGGCATCTTCCCAAAAGAATGAAACACATCATATCACAGTGATGTGTCTATATCCGTATTTATAGGAACACAACTCAATAGCTAAATCTTGGAAGTAATCTATAAACCTCAACATTTATGACTCCAACATAAGGGAATAAAGAAAATGTATACATAATTTAGCACTAAGCTGTATAAAGGACAAATGTGACCCAGGTGTGAAGGCACACACCTTTAGCCCCATCACTCAAGAGGCTGAGGCAGGATGATGCCCAAAATTCAAGGCCAGCTTAGGCTACAAAGTGCGTCAAGACCATCCTGAAGTATACAGTAAAATTGTCCCAAAAAATCTCCAAAGAGCCAGGATTATAGTTCAGCAGCACAGCGCCTGCCTGGTAAGCATGAGGTCATGAGTTCAATTCCTAGTACCCCCCCAAAAAAGTATCTAACATATGCATGCTCGATGAAAGTCCCTTCTCTTTTCCTTCCCATGGTCATGAACCCCTCAAATGACAGTGCTTGTGAGTTTTCAAAGAGGGTGTAGTGGCCTCCAAGGTGGCCCTCGGTGATCTTTCTTCCTGCTGTTCAAACACTCATGGTCCCTTCCTGTGTGAAAACAGGGCTGGGCTGCGCAACTGGAAGAGTCATGTGCAGACTTCACAGGCTAGGGTAGGTGTGAGAGGCTATGGGCTCCACTTGCCCCTTACAGTTGGTCTTGAGGAATGCAGCTGCCATGCTGTAGGGGTACTCGGCCTTGAGCAGAGTCCACACGCTCAGGACCCGAGGCCTGCTGCAGGCAGCCTGCACCAACAGGCCACATGGGTCAGCCATCCCGGAGGCCCCCGCTGATGGCTTGACCGAGAGCTTGTGAAGGACTTGGAGGCAGAACCGCCTAGCAGCCACTCCCAACTTCCTGAGACACAAAACTGTAAGATAACATTTTACAGTTCTCATCATTCAGTTGCACACTGACCCCAGGGCTCTGTTGTACACGCAGTGGGCAAGCACTGTATCCCAGAGCTACATCCCCAGCCCTGTGTGTGTTAGAGACAGGGCTTCACCGGGTTGCCCAGGTTGGCCTCAAACTTGCAGTCCTCCTGCTTCAACCCCTTAAGTAGCAGGAATTATAGATACATGTCACGGTGCCTATCAACTTTTTACTTTTGTATTATGAGCTTATGTAATAATTATTGCAATATAATACAATCCAAAGGAGCAAGAAATTGGTAGAAGAGCCTGGGACTTACTCTGAAACTTGGTTTTAGAGAGAAAATTTCTAAGAGAGAGGCTACAGAACACAAGGTAGATGGGACTATTAAAGAAGTAAAAGGAGCATTCTCAGAGCTAAGCTGGGCTCAGAAAGGTCTGTGTGTTGAGATTTCAGGAAATCTTTTTTTTTCTTGGCGGAACCAGGGATTGAACTCAGATCCTTGCGTTTGCCAGTCAAGCATTTATCCTACTGAACCATTTCCCCAGCCCCAGGTCTGTGTGTTGAGAATAGTCAATGTGACATTATCCAACAAGACTATCTGGGAGGCTGAGGCAGGATAATCAGTGCAGGCTCAAGGCCAGTCTGAGCTGCATGGCAAGACCCTGCCTCAAGAAGACAGACAAACAGAAAACCCAACAAGACTTTATCAGCCATGCTGGCCCCGCCCCCGGGCGTGCTGAGATGGCAGTTAGTGGTGGCACACTAATCCCAGCTCTTGGAAAGCTGTAAACAGGTGGATCTCTACAGTCAGATCTAGTGCTGAGACCCTGAACACCCTGTAGATCTTCCCTAAAATGCAAAAAAAAAAAAAAAAAAAGACTTTATCAAGAACACAGCATTTGGGGCTGGAGAGATGGCTCAGTGGTCTAAAGCACCTACTTGAAACAAGCTTGGCAAAGCACAGGGACCGCGGTTCGATCCCCAGCACCACATGCCAGCCAGCCCCGCCCCCTGGTGGGCTGAGCTGGCCACACACACACACAATAAATAAATGTAATAAATAAAAATAAATATTAAAAAAAAAGAACACAGCATTTGTTCCCAAGACATTGCTACATTTGAGCATCCGCTCCATGCTAGGCATGAGCCCACTGAGAAGGACACAGAGAAAGACACAGTGGTCCTGAAGGATACAGCAGCTACCTTAGAGACAGGCAAGCTAGCCAAATACAGCATAGATGCCAAACTTCTCTAAAAAGGTAGAGCTATGGCTCCTGAAGTTTTGGGAAATTTGTGAATGAGGGTAGCATCTGGGCTGTGCTCTGAGAGCCGAGGGGATGGAAGAAGCAGTACTGGAGGAGGAGGCGGGAAAATCAGCAGGTGGGGCC